TCTATTGCTAGACTGTAGAGGAGAGGAACCAAAATCCTGGAGTGTATGAATGAATGAATGAATGAATGAATGAATGATTAAATGAATGCATTATCTGTGTCTCCGTGAGGTGGGAAGGGGACAGTCCTTTGCTCCTCCATTAGCCTGGAGGGGCCGGATGCCCACTGGCCCACAGGGTCCTGGGAAGCCTGGCCAGCCTTGTTATCTTCATGGGCCCCACATGCATTCACCCTCCATTGGCCACCTCCTTTTCCTCCCCCACCCCCTCCCTCCCCAGAACGAGATACACTTCGTGTACTGACAAGCAATCATACACGTTTTATTTAAAATAATGAGAAGATGCCGTTATTCTGGGGGATTATAAATGGGGCTACCTCAGCAGCCCCAGAGCTGCTCTCGGAGCTGAGCTCTCCCTGCGACGCCCCGGCCCTCCACCAGCTCCCAAGGCCTCTCCATCTCCAGACTGTCACCATTACTGTCCCCAGCACAGAGGGCTCCTGGGGCTCTCCGCTGACCACCCAGAAGCACAACCCAAGTGCTCTTGGCTGCCCCTCTGCTGAATCTATCGAGGTTCTCTGTGGGGGCTTCACGTTCTACCTGGTGGAGGGGCCTCCCCATAGCACGGAGCTCACTCACCAGGACAACACTCTGGATGGCCTCTGTCTCAGCGGTGTGACATTTCTGCATGTTTCTGTGCTGTGACACTCTGTCTCGGGCCCAGCATTCCTGCTTGTTCTTCCTAAGCCACTGTGTCCTCCAGCTCTGATGGGGCTTAGCCATCAGGAATGGGACAACTCTCTCTCTAGAGGTGACTTCAATCCCACATAGAAGCGAGTGATGGAAGTCTTTGCTGTGCTGTTTGTTTCTGAAGACTTGGAAGTATTTGCTTGGGGGGACAAGAGAGTTTCATTATTCATCTTTCTCTTGTATTTGCCAAACCAACACTTTTTGTGCTTTACTTTTTCATCTATAATAACAGGGTAGTGATGCAGCTATTTCTAGAACTGAAAACAATAGCTGTCGTTTTTCCTGGGGAGAATTTGAGTTTAATCTAAATGGCCAGTGTGCACATTCATTTTCCCAGTGTGGAGGAAATACGTATTGATGAACGTCAGATTCTTGGAGGAGTCTCATCAAGTAAGAAACTCAGTGGCCTTTTCTCAGAGCTCTTAGAGGAAATGGTAATACTGGCATCCTTCTTTCCTCCTAAAGCCTCTTGGCTACAGTGACATTGTGCCCGCCCGACTCTCCTCCAGCTTTCCTACAACACATCTCTAATCTGATTCCTTGTCCTCCTCCTGAACCCTAAATTGGGAAAAGGGGCTGCCAGATCATGAATATCTGTCTGTATTGGGGGTGGGGAACAGGAGAGGAAAGCAGCCCTTCCCCATGAGCCTCACCCCGTGAGGACACTGAGAACACAGGTTACCATGTGCACTGCTTCTTCAGGTCTGCGTTACTCTGAGTCCTCCAGAGAAACAGAACCAACAGGATAGATTAGATAGACAGATAATCGATAGATGGGTAGACAGATAATAGATAGATCAATAGATAGATAATCAATAGATAGGTAGATAGACAGTGATATTGTTTGGCTGTGTCCCCACCCAAAATCTCATCTTGAATTGCAACCCCCATAATCCCCATTTGTCAAGGGTGGGACTAGGTGGCAGGAATTGGATCTCGGGGGCAGTTTCCCCAATGCTGTTCTCATGATAGTGAGTGAGTCTCACAAGATCTGATGGTTTTATAAGCACCTGGCATTTCCCCTGCTGGTTCTCATTCTCTCTCCTGCCGCCCTGTGAAGAGGTGCCTGCTTCTCCTTTGCCTTCCACCATTATTGTAAGTTTCCTGGGGCCTCCCTAGCAATGTGGAACTGTGAGTCGACCCTCTTTCCTTTATAAATTACCTAATCTCAGGCAGTTCTTTTTAGCAGCATGAGAACGAACTAATACACATAGATAATAGATAATAGATAATCAATAGATAGGTAGAGATAGATCTGTTAGAATAGGCTGACAGTGGCCAGGTGGGGTGGCTCACGCCTGTAATATCAGCTCTTTGGGAGGCCAAGGCAGGCAGATCACTTGAGGTCAGAAGTTTGAGACCAGCCTGGCCAACACAGTGAAACCCCACCTCTATAAAATAAAATAAAATAAAATAAAATAAAATAAAATAAAATAAAATAAAGGGAAGATGGCTAGACATGAGCAGGAGAGGGAGCCCCTGAGAAAAGGGAGGTCTGGGAAAGTCTCACACTCCAGGGACCACCTGAAACATGCATGCTGGAAATGAGCAGAGGAGGGGAAATACCGATGCAGGAAGGAACACCCCTTAGAGACACCCAGTCATCACTCCCTCCACAGTCAACCTGTCAGAGCAGAGCTAGCTGCGTGCCAATAAAGAGGAGAGAAAGCAAAGGAGAAATTCAGAGACAAGCAGTCACAGTAAGTGCAGATCTGTCCATGGTACAACCTTCCTTAGTGGAGGTAATGAGCAATGCAGCCATTAGGTAGAATTTGCATCCAACACCAGCCTGGCATGGGTACCGCCTAATAATAAGGGAGGGCCCCAGAAACCCAGGGTGAGAACTAGGTGAGGAGAAGGTGGGGACTTAAGACAAGAATGAGAAAACTAGATCCCCCCCAAAAGAAGGCAGAGCCTTAAGACAGAGGTGGGAACTTCAGGAAAAAATTCAAAATCATGAAAACCCAGCATAGAACCCTCAGGGGCTGTAGCTCATTCTCCTTTAGCTGCCCCCTCTGTCTCATCTTTCAGAGTGCATTGTCCCTTTAAATAAACCCCCTGCTTCCAATTTTCCTACCATAAATTATCTTCTTGGATAACAGAATAAACTCCATAAACTGTCTCTTGGCCAAATTCTTTCTCCCAAGATGACAAAGGACTGAGGATTCCTGCACTTCCTGATGAGAGAGAGAGAGAGAGAGAGAGAGAGAGAGAGAGAGATTCATTGTAAGGAGTTGCTCACACAGTTATGGAGGCTGACAAGTCCCAGCTCTGCCATTTGCAAGCTGGAGACCCAGGAGACCCAACAGTGTAAGTTCCAGTCCAAAATCCGGCAGGTTCAAGACCAGAAAAAGGCTCATGTTTCAGTTCTAGTCCAAAAGCAGCGAAAAACTAATGTCCCCACTCAAGGCGATTAGACTGGAGGAAAGCAGGGGGCCCACCCTTTCATTCTACTCAGGCCTTCGCCTGATTGCAGGGGCCACCCTAACCAGGGAGCACCATCCGCCCTACTCAGTCTACAGATTCCAATGCTGCCCCATCCGGACACACACTCACAGACACACCCAAAAAAATGTCTGGGCACGCGACCCAGTCAAGTTGAAGCATGAAATTCGTCATCCCATGATGTGCGCCCATCTCAGTGTCATGACCACCCACTGTTGTCTGACATCTTCAGAAATAAAACAGACCTTGTGCCTGGAGCCACTGAGAGTCAGAGGTTGTTGGTGCAACAACTGGTCACATGTCTCTGACTGCTGAAATAGACAGTGGCCCTGCCCATGGGACCCCAGCCTTGCCTTTGCCACAGTGTGGCCACTGTAGACTTCCTCAGTGGGACCTATTTACATACTACACCTAGTCAATCCTGCCATGTCAGCCAGAGGCCCCCAGTCTCAACCCCAGCAGGCCAGAGGAGCTCCCCTCCCCCTGCCTCCAAGCCAGTCTCTCCTCTGGGCCTCCTATCCTGTGCAGGGTGGACACTCCATCATCACCTCTGGCTCCTCCCCTCACCATGTGCAATGGAGGGACCCGTCCCTCCACGTCTGCGTCAACCATCCCTCCACATCCACGTCAACCGTCCCTCCATGTCCGTGTCAACCACCCCTCCATGTCCGCATCAGCCACCCCTCCACGTCCACGTCAGCCACCCCTCCACGTCCGCATCAGCCACCCCTCCACATCCGCGTCAACATGACTGATGATTCCTCCTGCCTTCGCAGGGCTGACTCTGGGCCCAACGTGGCTCTAAGTGTCATAAATGGTGTCTTCTCACAACAACTGGAGGTTGTCATCGCTGTGACTGCCATTTACAGATGCAGCAGCTGTGACCCAGCGAGGTTGGGTGGCTGGCTTGCCCACAGTCACAGCCTCCGTGCATACTGACCCTGGCCTGGAACCAGACACCCTGGCCCGAGCCAAGAGGCCCCTTGCTTCCTGCTCCACACCTTCCCGGGAACAGCTAGTACTCTAAGTTGGGGTCACCAAAGCCGTGGAGTGCAGCTAAACTTGCAAAATGTCTCCTTGGTTCTCCCCTACAGCAGTAGAAACTGCCCAGCAGTCCTGCTCTGTAGACTTTCCTCTTCCCCTGCCATTGGCCTGCTGAGACACTCCCCACGGCACTCCTGACTCCTTCCTCCAGGCCCAGGGCTGGACTCAATCCCCCAAAAGGCCACTGATGCTACCACAGCCTGTTTCTTCTCCATGACACCTTGCAGCTCACTGAATTCCGCAGAAACTTTATACCCGAGAGCATATAGAAAATCAACTGTGATAGTTCAGAAGCCATCTGGCCTCTACTGGCTACTACTCAAAAGAAAACTGAAATAAGCAACTTCAAAAACCTGTTTACTATTCATTGACCACCTACTATGCACCAGACACACCCCTGGGCCTTTTGCATCAATTACCTGGTTTTATTCTCACCGCCGTCCATGAGGCAGACACCATTGTTATCCCCATTTAACAGAAGGAAAACATGAGACGCAGAGAAGCAACTTGCTGGACATGACCCAGAGAATAAATGGCAGAACCAGCTCTCAACCTGGGTGTTACTCCAAAGCCAATCCCCCCAACTCCTACAGGGATGCTGGGCCAACGTTACACAAAAGCAGTGACAGTTGAAATGAGGAGAAAGGTGAGCATCAGAGCTCATCGGGTTGACCCTGCGGAGCTGCCCTAGGGGACGGAGAGCTGCTGTGCTCTCTGCTTCTGCACATCAGGCAGGAGCCAGGCCACCATGAGCGCCTTCCCCTCTATCACCTGCTGCGTTCACAGCCCACGGCTCTGCTCAGGGTGGACTGGGCTCCTCTGGCCGCCCAACTCCCTTGCAGGGTGGCTGACAGGCCCTTGCCTACCCTTTGTTTCTAGCATTGCTATCCCCATTTCCCAAAATTCAGCAAAAGTTAGTCCCCTTCTTTTTTCCCCTAATTTTTGCTTTTTAAGATCAATCCTGAGCAAGAGGAGCTTTCTCAAGAAAGAATCACGTGGATCTATAGCCCCACTGAAGCTTCAACAAACTGATTCCCCCAGAGGTGCTAAATGGAAGAAGTCAGGTCCTTTGTTGCGTATCAGACCCACCTGGCCAAGGAGAAGGGCTCTGTGCTGATTCATTCACAAAATCTTCATCAAGCTCTCACTGCATTTATCATCCTACACAGGAACTAATGGGTACGTGCGTGCGCCTGACAAAGAAAAACGGGCCTGAGAAACATCACTGTAAATGTCATGTCTTTAAGACATGTGTCAACATTTTAAGGATAACATTGAATTTTTTCAAAAGATTATCTTTTTCGATAGAAAATACACAAGTCTGTACAAGTCTGAATGTGCTAGATCACTGATCACATGGAACTGGTTCCATTGAGTTACGATCTGTTGCAAAAAGGGGTATGGAGACTTGTTCTTTCTGAGGACCCTGGCAGTTCTGAGTTTAAGTGCTTGTTGGCTGGGAGCTTTGGTTATGCACAGGCAAACTTCTGGAACCTATGTTCCCAGGCCAAGGAGACTAAGGTAACAGTGTTGTCAGTGCACACCGCACAGTCCTTGGAGCTGGGCTCGCCTTTTCCTGTGCCACCTAAAAGCTCTGGCCAACTCAGTGGAAAAAAAAAAACAATTACACTGGGTTTTGACTGAAGTGACATCTATTGCCAGCATTATATAGATTCGAATTTATTGACTTGGCTCTTTTTTTTATTCTAATTTATTCACCATTTCAAAAACCAAGTATGTGATTAAAATATGCTGCCACCAGGTGGTGGTAACAGTGTCACAAGTCATGTTCCAAAAAGTGAAGTCCACACAACTGTGTTTTGGTAGAGGTAGCAATGAACACATTGTTCTCATCTATTTAGGGGAAAATGGTAAAATATATGTGAATTTATTCATTGTTAATCCTACATGTGACAAATATAATCTGAGTACAAGCCTCAAGGCAGCATTTCTTAACTGGTCATGGATGCTTTTGAAAACCTAATAAAATTTGGGAGAATCTCCCTGGGAAAATGAACACGCGTGCACATTCACAAAGTTCCACAGGCAAATTTGAAAGAACATAGTACAGAATGAAGACACTTGCTTTAAAGAAAATACCTAGAAATCAATCTCACTGAGATGGTTGCAAATTAAAAGGCTCTAATCACAGTGAAAAGGAACCGGTAGCTATGAGCCACTGTGAGTTTTCTGAGAAGTCAAACTAAGCGCACCCTGATTCCATTTTGTCATTATACTATGTAAAAGTAAATATATAGGAGATATATGTGTTTTATATATGCATAAACATATATAAAACAATTATTTATATATTTTTGTACTTATTCATATAAAACATATTTATATATAATTATTGTACAAGATAATTTAATTCCATGCAATAGTTATTTATCACATGGCTGGACTGGTCACTGGGTTGGGTGCTGAACACTCAGAAAATTAAGATACGATTTCTGCCTTCAAAAGGCCCATAGCCTGGCAAGGAGAATGAGCAGATGTATATATACATATATAAGAATTATAATCTAGGCCGGGCGCGGTGGCTCACGCCCGTAATCCCAGCACTTTGGGAGGCCGAGGCGGGCAGATCATGAGGTCAGGAGATCGAGACCATCCTGGCAAACACGGTGAAACCCCGTCTCTACTAAAAATACAAAAAATATTAGCCGGGCGTGGTGGCGGGCGCCTGTAGTCCCAGAATGGCGTAAACCCAGGAGGCGGCGGAGCTTGCAGTGAGCCGAGATCGCGCCACTGCACTCCAGCCTGGGTGACTGAGCCAGATCGCGCCACTGCACTCCAGCCTGGGTGACAGAGCGAGACTCCGTCTCAAAAAAAAAAAGAATTATAATCTAAATTATAATCTAATGCGACAAGTGTCCATCCAAATGCACTACGGGAGCAAGAGAAAGAAGCTGTCTGACTTGAGGGGTGGCAGGGAGGAAAAGTTGCCATTTCAGCTGAGGAAAGAGAAGTGTAACCTCATCCCCAATGTGAAAGACACATATTCGAAGCAGGGAACTGCATGAGGGAAAGCTCAGCGGCATCAAAGTTCACAGGACCAGCACGTGCTCTGGGGTCAGGCCGCCAAAGCTGCAGAGTGCAGCTAAACTTCAGCTTGGTGTTTTGCAAAATCTTTCTTTCTTTCTCCTTGACTGTCCCCTACAGGGAACCTTCCCACCAGTCCTATTCTATAAAATGTTCCCTTGCCCCATACTCCAGGGATTATCCAGGGTGCAGAACAGCGAGGAGTGTGCCCCATCTCATGTGCAAAACCTCATTATGTAAGGTAATTCTATGGGATACCTTTTATACCCCACATGAAAACCCTCCCAGCCTCACCTCGCCACTTCACCGCACCTCCCAGGCTCCGATCAGCTTTGCACAGGTGTCACCTGACACCACCTGGGCTCAGAGACCTGCTCACCTCTTACTTCCTGCCTTGGCCCTGGGAAGGGCCACCTTCCAGGAGGCTGCTCAGGAATCACAGGTATGCAGGTCACCAACACAGAGCCTCCACTGGCCAGGACAGAAGCAGATAACAAATTCTCTTTCCTTTACTGTCCCAAGGGGACTGTGCGGAGATGCATTTCATAAAGGGCCTCAGAAGGTCTCAAAGGGCCCAGCACCAGTCACTCCAAGCAGCTATTGATTGGATAAGCCATCCGGTATTCCCATTCACTCCTTCCCTCCCTCGCTCTCCTCACTCCTGCTCGCCTGAGCCCTGAGACCCCTGCCCAAGGAAACAGCCTGAACTCAAGTTTTTGTCCCTAGCTCTGCTGGAGAAGCTCCATCCAAGACCACTGATACCAAACCTGAAAGCTCTAGAAAGCAGACTTTCAGGATAAAATTTGGGAGCTAGTCCCCTCACCAATCCAGCACACAGAGGAACCCCATTGCCAGTGGCAACTGGGGAATAAGCCCCTGACCTCAATTGCCTCATCATCACCAAGAAGGGCACTGGAGTAGGGCTAGAGAGAGGTGCAGGGAGGTGCAGGGGATTTACAAGGGAGACATAGGGAGGCAGGCTTTGCACTGGCAGCCACGACACCTTAGAGGCTCCCTGTCCAGCAGGGTAGGGGTGCCCAACTCCCAGCCATGAACCGGTACCAGTCTGTGGCCTGTTAAGAGCCAGGCCACACAGCAGGTGAGCAGCAGGCTGAGGAGCATTGGCGCCCAAGCACCCCCTCCTGTCAGATCAGCTGCGGCATTAGATTTTCATAGGAACACAATCCCTATTGTGAACTGTGCTTTCGAGGGATCTCGGTTGCCCACTCCTTGTGAGACCCTAATACCTGATGATCTGAGATGGAACAGTTTCATCCCCAAACCATCCCCCCACCCCCAGTCTGTGGAAAAATCGTCTTCCACAAAACATGTCCCTGGTGCCAAAAAGGCTGAGGACCACGGTGCCAGAAGGTCTTGCAGAGGGTGCATCAGCAACGTGCATCTCTAACTAGCAGCAAAAGTCCTATTACAACACGTTCATCTACCGTAGAAAGGTTTAGGATGTAGAAACAAAACAAATGTCACCTGAAACTCTGCCGCAGGTCAGTGTGCACCGTCTCAGACTCTTCTGCATGCCCATGTGGGTGGGGTTGGGGTTGGGTGTCTCGGCCAGGTAGAAGCTGGACCAGGCCCCAAAGCTGTGGGCGATGGGTGCTGCATCCACCTCCTCTGGCTTGGATCTGGAAGCTTCCTCCTCTCTCTTCCTCTTGCCTGAATTGACACAGGAGATGAAGCCTGGGGAAAAAGGACCAGAACTCAGACCCCAACCCCCAACCCACAATGGCATTCAAGGATGTCAATCAAGATGCACGTGATAGACTTGTTAGTACAGGATTATCTGTAAATCAGAGCTGTGTTCCCTGTCAGTTAGAACAGGCTGGGTTATACCAAGTAACAAATGTCCTGCAATCACAGAGGCTTCCCACCACGAAGATCTGCCTGTCACTCACCCCATGCCCAGGGCTTGGCTCAGCCCTTCACAGGTGGATGGACATCTACAAACTGGAGCATGGCAGCCTGTCAGAGAGACAGGAAATGAGCGCATGGTGAACAAATGGTGGCTCTTAGCTTCTGCCCAGGAGAGCCCCATGACGCTTCTGCTCACATTTCACTGGCCAAGGCAAGTCACATGGCCTTACTCCCACATGACACTTGTACTCCAATTTCATCGGCCAAGGCAAGTCCCCTGGTTTGCCTGCTTCAGTGGGGCAGGGATGTTCAGTGAGCAAATCACCCTGAGAACTTGATTACTGTCCTTGCTCCATTCTTTCTTTTATCATGGTCCTTTGTCCACTGACCCATCACCAGCTCTGGACTGGAGCTCCAGTAGCGAGGGCACCAGGCACAGTCATCCTTGTATCCTAACAAGGAACTGGCATTGTTGGCAGACAGGCAGTCGACGTCTTTCTCCTGCCAAGAGTCGGAGAGAGTGGTGCCTTCCACAACACTGGCCCTGCAGACCTCGTAACCTAAGTTACCAAAAAAGACTAAAAAGTAATGAGTTCTTACCCTGATTATACACTCAACAATACTTAGTTACTGAACATCTTTTATGTTCCCGGTACACAATGTGGAGAATAAACAGAAGTAGAAAATAAGAAAATGAAAATCTCATACAGGTTATCTCTTATTCAAAATGCCTGGGACCAGAAATGCTTTGAATTTTGGATTTTGGAATATTTACATAACACTTACTGGTTGAGCATTTTGAATCCAAAAGTCTAAAATCCAAAATGCTCCAATGAGCATTTCCTTTGAGCATTATGTCAACACTCAGAAAGTTTCTGATTTTGGAGCATTTCAGATGTCAGATTTTTAGATTCAAGATGCTCAACCTGTATAATTTCACCACTCTGGGGGACCTACTTAATATTTTTTATATATTTCCTTTCAGTTTTTTTTTTCTATAGTTTTTTTGGTCCTGCCAATTTAAATAATTTTCTCTTTTTCTCACTTAAAGTTATAACTACAACAGTCTTAAGAACTCTGAAAATTTAATTTTAAAGACTGAATCATATTGCCTTTAATGTGGATTACATAAGTGCAAGTTATTTATTGGGCCACCTAATTATCATTAAACACTCTGGATCATTTCACTTTTTTATTTTTAAAAATGCTATGATTAATATCATTTTTAAAATTATACCTCAAAAAGTCTTTGTGAGAAAATTATTCATAGGCCGTAAGCATAAGGAAACCTTCTTATGAGATCATTTGTTCTACAACAATTTATCTCAGCCTAATTGCCTTTTATTGGCCATAGAGCTGTTCACTTCCTCAGCAATCCAGAGTTCAAGTGCTGTAAAATGCAACACTGGGCAGTTCTAGAAGAAAGAAATGTTTCTGGAATTAGGCTCTAAAATCCTCAGATCACAATAATTTTCACAATTAAATAAAATTTAATTTTTGGCTCACGTAGTAAGAGATTATATCAGATTTCTCATTCCTTGGAAAATCAGAGAGAACTTAATAACAAATACCATAATTATCTGCAAAGACTGAACAGTGATTAAATTATCAGGAGGCCGTTACTCCTAAAACTATTTCTTTAATTAGCTAAAGCTGGCAGTATATATTAATATTTCCTGAGATATTTGCATACATTCACAACAGGCTAACCAGACATTAGGTGAAATATAATTTTTCTAATATTATGTTAGAAATATTTTAAGATTAAATCATATTATCATGTTTTTTCCTGTGATTATTAGAGCAGACTCTCTTGATTTATTACCATAAATTCTCTAATTTAGGAGCTGAAAATGCTTCTTGTTTTCCATGATGAGCTTTTTCAATTCCATTTACACAATAGAAGGTGCTCTTTGAAGCCAAGATCTGCTGGTAGAACGTGATTTTTAACAATCCACATCTCCACACTGCTCCCAGACAAACACCAGAAAGCCCACCCTAATATGTAGCTGGCAGGACTCTGGCCGTTCAGATTCCGTGGCCACAGCAGGAAAAGCATCTGGGTAGCACTGGGTGCAGGGATGAGGTGAGGGGGAGCTGGTCCTGGGTGGCCACAGCACCAAAGAGCAGAGGACATATCAGCAAGCAGGGTTTGAATGAGGGTTGAACTGGTCTTTCTCAACTCCACCCCAGCCTGCACAAAGGACAGCACACTCAACTGAACTGGGCAACTCTCAGAAAGTCCCAAAAGGGGGTCAGTACAGAGGTGTAGGGACAGTTAGGGAGGCCACACCCAGGAATCACAGCAAGGCTCTGTCACCACCACTGGGGACAGGAAACTGGGGAGTCCTGAGGTGAGCCCCAGAGCTGAGGACCACCCAACAGGAGCCAAGCCCTTACAGGAGGGGCACAGCCATCTCCAGCCTGCCCCGGGAGAGGGAGTGGAGAATAAAGGCTCTGAGCACTCTGCATTCTCTCTCTCCACAGCCCTGCCCAGGTCCCTTTGGCCAAACTTAGCAGAAGCCAGAGGGGAAGGAGGCCCACAGATGTAGCCCCTCTGGTCAGCATCCAGGGCCTGAGAGGGGTAGAACACAAGGAGAACCAGGGAGACATGTGGAAGTTGCTGGGCACAAATGATGGGGGACATTATTGCATCGGGGGACATCCTGAGGGCCCCCTTGGACGTGCTGATGCCAGCATGTTGACCTTCACAATATGTGTTCACTCTCACCCTGGAGGACTTTTGTCTCTTGCCATGTGTGTGATTTTAAAAAACAACCGCTTGTCAGCAAGAAGGGATATGCTTTGAAAACCAAAACAGAAATTTCCAAAGAAGCCAGGAGCCCAGAGACTGTGATAAGGAGCAGCTGGGCAGGCCTGCAGCCCTCTGGCCATGATGCCCAGCACCCCTCCTTGAGCAAGCGGGGCTGGGTACTGGCGTCAGTGATGAGCAAGACTCAGCCCCTGCCCCAGGGACACCTAAGCCAGCAGAGCTGCTGACCACGTCCCCTCAGGTTCACCTAAGCCTGCGGGGCTGCCCACCACATCACCAAAGCACTCTCTACTTAAAAGCATGAGCAGATGAAGGTGTGCACAGGTGCAGGGCAGCATGAGCAGGGACCCAACTTGGTCTGTTGGATCAGAGGAGGATTGGGAGGTGGTGGTAACAGGAGAAAGCTGGTGCATGGTTTTGTTTTTTGATTTTGTTTTTGTTTTTGTTTGTTTTGAGGAGTTTCACTCTTGCTGCCCAGGCTGGAGTGCAGTGGTGCAATCTCAACACACCGCAACCTCTGCCTGCCCAGTCCAAGTGACTCTCCTGCCTCAACCTCCTGAGTAGCTGGGATTACAGGCGTGCAGCACCATGCCTGGCCAATTTTGTATTTTTAGCAGAGTCAGGGTCTCTCTGTGTTGGTCAGGCTGGTCTCAAACTCCCGACCTCAGGTGATCTGCCTGCCTCGGCCTCCCAAAGTGCTGGGATTACAGGCTTGAGCCACCGCGCCCCGCAGTGGTGCATGTTTTCAGAGCTGCTCCCCACCCAGAGCATCATCACTGGACAAGGTCATTCACTCAAGGCTGATTCTGGCCAGATGCCGGGTTTGATTTTATTAGTTTAGCCCAGTTGGACATCCTGGACAAGATGGGGCAAGAACTCAGAGGATAAAATTCATCTTGTCCCTTGGGTAGAACTGTAGCAAGGAAATATCTTCATCTTAACCTCACCATCTGACGATTGCCTTTTAGATGGTGTTTGGACGTCATCTCTATGAAAAAAGATAGAAGTAAAGGCACGTGAGCCGCAGAAGCTCATACAGCAAGGATCCTTTTCCCTCTTCACACCTTTTTTTCCAGACAAACTTCATTGAAAACACCATGACCTCTGAGTTCCCTGGCGGAAAGAAATCATTTCCATGACTCTTGTTGAAACCTGAAAAAGCATTTGATGATGCCCATTCGCCTTGTGGAAGCCCTGGGTTGGGGGCCAGGTCTGTGTCCAGGCCTGAAGGCTGACTGCTCTGTCACATTTTTTTCTTGTAGGAAGGGGTGACCAAGCTCAGGAACAAGCAAAGAGAAGGCATGGTAGTTGCATGAGTTGGAGCTGCTGAGCGCCTGGGTGCATCTAGAGGTTTCCTCCCCGTACTCCTTGGGAACCTCTACCAAGACAGAAGGTCCATTTGCCTAAAGCAAAATGTGTCCCAAAAACATTCTTTTCTCCTCGCCCCAAAGACTGAATAGGTATTTTAGGGATTAAAATGCAGTAAATTCAAATTACAGTCTCTCCAAATCATGATACTAAAAAGGAAATGTAATATTCATACTCAACTTGTCATCTTAATTAATTTGTCCGTATTATTTCAGGAGTTCTAACAAAAAATACAAGGCAGTCATCAAGTGAAAATGGGAGTAAAAATAAAGTGACTCAGTTAACTCACTATCCATCTATGCAGATTTATGGGAGGAAGACCTTTCCACTAGGAGAAGAAGTGGGCTAGACAGAACACTCCCAGAAATAGCTATTAGAGAACAATTGCTTAAATATGGGTGATTTTTAAGTTATTTTACAATATTATCCAATCTAAAACTTCAGCATGCTTTTTCTGAGACTTTCTAAATACTAAAGTTTAACATTTGAAACAATTTTAGGTTTACAGCAAAATTGAGCAGAAAGTACCAAGAGTGCCCATGTACCTCCCAGCCCCATACCCTCACAGCCTCCTCCACTATCAACGTCCCCCACCACAGCGTTGCACTTACTAAAACTGATTAGGCTACATTGACACGCCACTGTCACCCAACATCCACAGTTTACATTAGGGACCTCTCTTGGTGTTGCACATTCTATGGGTTTTGGCAAATGCAGAAAAGCGTGCATCCACCACTATAATGTCATACAGAATCATTTCACTGTCCTAAAATCTCCCTGTGCTCCACCTGTTCATCCCTCCTACCCCCTAACCCCTGGCAACCATTGATCTTTTTACTCTCTCCATAGTTCTGTTTTGTCCAGAATGTCATATGGTTGGATTCATTCAGTCTCTAGCCTTTTCCAACTGGCTTCTTTTACTGGTAATATTCATTTAAGGTTCCTCCACGTCTTCTCATGGCTTGATTGCTCATTTCCTTTTAGTGCTAAATAATGTTCCATTGTCTGGATGTACCACAAATTATTTATAAATTTATCTAGTAAAGGACATTTT